GCGCATTGCCTTTAGAGCTTGAGCTGTTTGGCTTACAGAAGCTCGGAGTTCATCCATCTCCGCTTGCCGCGTTCGAGTTGCTGTTTTTTGTGTTCCCGTGGCTCGCTGTCTCTCTCAGAGGAGGCGTTCTTCTTCTTCCGCGAGCTCTTCAACGAGTCGCTCGTCTTCGTCTAAGTCAGCTTCTCTCCGAGCAACCTGAGGTTGTCGCGCAGCTGCTCGTCCTAGTTCGCCTGGCTCATCAGGATTGTCCTCCTCGGCATCATCCTCTAGGTTGACTACTTGCGCTAATGTGTCTGCTGATGGTCCACTTCGGTTGACATCTTGTCCGCCGCTTTCAGGAGTCGGATCGACATTCTGGTCGAGCGGCCGGAGTCGGCGAGCTCTCTGCACCTCAGTAGGAGTCGAGAAGTTCAGAATTATTGGTGCAACGCGATCCATGGCTCGTCGCGTAAAATCTACACTTCTCCCCCGGCCAGTCGTAGTGAGGAAGTCTAGTCGAGTTGTCACCATGTTGTTAAGCATATCATGTTTCTTCGACTTCTTAAGGATTTCTTCGAACATGTTCTTGATCTGAGTTAGGGTTTCAGGATTTGCTTCTGCGGTCGGTGTCGTCTCCTTCCCTTCGAATTCGTCTGTCGCGTCGCCCTTTTATCGAGATCCGTCCTCTGCGGTTTCTTCTGGATCTTTGTCGTTGTGATCTCCGTCAATGTTCATCTTCTTTAAGTCGCATGGTGGTTCTTTTCGTGTGAGAGAGTCTCAAGTTTCCCCTTAGACGGCGCCAAATTGTGGAGGGTGAAACCAACATAATCGAATTTGTTAAGGTTTTTAGAGGAAAGTTGAGATCTTTGAGCTAGAACCACGAAGACAAGAACAAATATGCGAATTTGCTGTTAAGAAAGCTTTATTGATTTTTACAGAGTGTTCTTATGAAAAGTTTCGGATCCCCCTCTGAAGAGAATTACATGTTTATTTATACAAGTTTAGGTCGGCTAGGTCAACCTATTAAAAGATAATGAAAACTTCCTATTTTTTAGGGATTTCCTTTTATTAAAGTTGGCTGCGATCACAGTTTTCCTCGTGGGCCTTCAACTTGTCGCATCTCTTTTCTAGGCTGGACCTCGCGAACTTGTCTTTTGGGCCTTGAAACTGTTGAGCTCACCGTCTCGTCTTGGTTAACCTTAGACTCGGCGTTTAAGTTCGTCACCTTGTCCTTGGCCTTGAGCTCGTCTTCGTGATGGACTCGCCGAGTTCGAGCCATGGCAAGCTCAAATCTTGGTG